CAACCATCCTTCGCTGCACAGTCACACGCACACGCGTACCCTGAACATGAGCCTGCCCAAACGCAAGCCACCGATCCAATCGTCCCTCTAATCCATTCATGCAGCTTGCTCAGCAATCAAATCACCCACCCACCCATTGTTGCAATAGTTAATTGATCCAGCCAGCCGCAGGCCTCCATCCAGCCATCCAACCAGCCAAGCAGCCATCCATCCATCCGCCTCACATAAATAAATCTCGTCCACCCGAGACCCACCTATCTACGTATCTACCCACACACCCTTCCATCCAATCCATCCTCGTAAGCGTTACACCTGACCCTTTGTACACTTATCGCTTTAGCCGTTGCCCTGTGCTGCTCCCTCAGCGTCCGCTCCGTGTTCAGCTGGGGAGAGGCGAGCCGGCTGAATAATGGCTGTAGTATCGGCCTAATAACGTTACAGCTGCCACGAGGATGGGGAGGGGTCAGGAAGGGTAAAACAAGGGGGCTTGGGGATTTACGTATAAAGGCTGAGGTTTGGTTGAGCGGTTGTCTCGAGGATGGGTGCTGAGAAGGAGGGAAGGGGAGGGGCAGGTGCATCACTAATGGCTTTTTAAAAAGGTTACAGCATGTCGCTCCCTCTTCATAATGGGGCCCAGGCTGTGCTGGAAATGCAATTTCCGGGAAAGATAATGCAAGGAGTGAAGGGCTGCGTATGTCAGGGAGGCTTGCTGCTGCTGCTGCTGCTGCTGCTGTCTGATTGAATCTCCCTGCTTTTGAACGGGCAAGTGTAATTGCCAGCCATGTTAGAGGGACCATTTAAGCGGTCGACATTATGTTCTTGTCGACACAGCACAACTTGGCTCTATGCTGCAGTAATACTTTCAATTTATTTCACACCCTCTGCGCCCAACACAAAATCAATAACTCACGGTTACGTGTAATTTCTTTGTGTCAGTCCTTAGTTCTGCCTGGACAATTAGAATTTAACGAAATGAGCATTGCGCGCGCTTATATTCAAGTGAGAGAAAGAAAGAAAGAAAGAAAGAGAGGATGGAGACAGAGATGAGGGACACGTGAATGGGGATGCTGAGAGGAGGGAGCAGGGGCCGAAAGAGTAGAACGCAGGCGTGAAGATACTTGACAGGGGTGGGGGGGGGGGCGACGGTACGAAGAGGGGAGGGTGACAGATTTTTCCTGGATGCTTGAATCAAGCAAAGAAAGGTGGAGTGGTTGCAGCACATATGCCGGAGGAGACGGCGCGGGGGCTTGAATGAGGGCCATGCCCGCCTGTGTGATCAATAGTTAATGACAACATTATCGCTGGACACGGCGCTGGGCCAAAATATCGAAACAAACGTTATCCCTCAGCCCTTCAACTTCTTTTGCGGTTGGTTACAGCCAAATATACTAATTAACCCCCACCCCCCCCAGCCATGTTAGAGGGACCATTTAAGCGGTCGACATTATGTTCTTGTCGACACAGCACAACTTGGCTCTATGCTGCAGTAATACTTTCAATTTATTTCACACCCTCTGCGCCCAACACAAAATCAATAACTCACGGTTACGTGTAATTTCTTTGTGTCAGTCCTTAGTTCTGCCTGGACAATTAGAATTTAACGAAATGAGCATTGCGCTGCAATCTGTGTGCATGTGATCTGCATCCACGTAAACGAGCCTGCATTCGTTTGTTTGTTAGCCGAAGGAATGGACAAAAGAAGGTAAAGCTGTGTGGAGAAAGTGATAATACACACACACATGTGCACTCCAACACGCCACGCTGCCTTCTACGTCTCTGTCTGTCCCATCGTGACTCATCCAGCATGTCTCTCCTCCTCTCCGCCACTTAAGCACAATGATGACATGTGCTACTTCCTCGGCGGAACGCCTCAGCCGACTGCTCCTCCTCGCCTCCAAACTGTCAGGGGGAAACTGATGGCCCAAACCAACAGCACCTGCTTTGAAAACAGAGGCCCCTGCATCTCTCAGAAAGAAGACAATAACAGCAGGGGATTTGAAGTTTGTGAGCGAGAGTCCTCCACTCACTTGACATCTATTGCGTGTCCACGACCGTTGCAATGAACGGATTTCTTTTTTTGGAGCAATCCTAAAATTCAAAATGTTGCGGCGATCGATCGTTTTAATGTTTGCAGCGGTTCAAGTTGACAGAAGTAGATCACGATTCAATTTGACATCGTAGGTGAAGATCCACGGCGCTTTTGTGACGTTAAGCGTCCCATGTGGTTGCCATGCGGCGGGAAGCAGTCGCTTCGACAAACATGGTGTGAATATTTTCATATCTTGACTCGGATTTAAAGAAAGTAGAGTGACTCAAAAGCGGTTGAATAACAGACTGATGGAGACTCAAGGATTGCGACAGGTTCTCTGGTACTTGGGCGCAAATACTCGACTTGCCCTAGGCGCTGGCAATTTAAAATATGCTCCTGACTGATGGTTATCCAAAGAAAATAATTTTATTGTGTCATGCATAGATTGGGATTACTGGAGTGCAGTCTTAATCGAGATTTAAAAAAAAAAAAGCTCCAATGTGTTACCCAGAGACCAATTGCCTTTGTATGAAGCTATTATCCAGAGCACAACAACTGCATTTAACTCATCAATTAGAATTTGACTTGTGGGCTTGTTTTGGGAAATGCTAGCAAGAGAACCCATTTTTTTTTCTTCCATTTTTTTTTTTCTCTCGCCGCAGCCCTGTTTCAAATCTGAATCTAGACCGATCAAGCTCGAGGCCATGTTCCGCGTGTGCCGTTTTGCTGTGGTTAAAGGACATATTTCCTCCAAATGGTGTGCTACGGGCTTCCAAGTTTTCATTTTGTGGTCTGTGTATAAATCCCGGAGTAGTAAAAGAAAGGCAGTGTAGCCTCCCCGTGAAAAAGTACAGACTGTTTCAGCCCGTGCAATGTTTATGACAAAGCATGATGACATCTTGTGATATTGGCAGCTGCACACGAATCAGAGCACTTAGTCCGATACACAAACACTTGAAAGGTACATTTAACGATACATTCTCTGCCCGTCGTGTCCTTCAGTTGTTGTTGTTGTTTTTTTTTTTTAATTAACTTTTGACATCTCGATTTACTCTTGAAAACAGCCAAAGGTTTCGATGCCTTGTATGTGATTGTAAAATAGAAGATTTAAAATATCGAGAATCAATGCCTATCATGAGGGAAGGACAACAGCAGTCAGTGACTGTACCGAACGAAAAGCTTCATTTTCAATTGCCATGGCAACTGCAGATCGCCATTATAGCGGTGGGCCAGCCAGGGCACTTGTCATTTTGTGTTATAGCACTAACTATAGTGCTGTATGCAGTTCTTAGTTCCACACAAAAACACCTACATAATGCTTAATTTAAAATATGATTTAATAATGCAAACTCTTTCATATAGTTCCAACCTGTAATAGCAGCCTGGGAACAAAAACTGTCATTCTTACTTACTGATATTTGAAAACTATTGTCATTTCAATGCTTTTCTCAGTCACTGTATACTACGGAACCCCTCAAGTGATAAGGAGAGAAAAAAATCAAATAAAAGGAAATATGTTTATCGTTAGGACAAGAAAGTTTCTCAAGCTAATGAGAAACGTCTTTCGCTGCTCGCGCTAGCTTATTTACCTGCACGAGCTAGCTTCCTGTGAACGGTAGTTAGGACGAGAAACGTTCTCGCTAGGACGAGAAGCTACTATCTTCATCTTATTTTCTTTTAGTTGGTTGATGACACTATTTGGTAGAGATTATACCGACTATACTGTCGTCCTTGTTTTTGAGGAAAGGGTATAAGAGTAATGCCACCATGCCCGAAGACAGCCGGGAGAGGCTCCAACACGCCCTGCGACCCTCGTGAGGACAAGCGGATCACAAAATGGATGGATGGATGGAAATAAATACTAAAGCTATGTATAATATTTTGGAAAACTGCAGTTACACTCACATATCAGGCAGATATGTGCACTCAAGCCGTCTGCAAATCACTCCACATTGCGGCGGAATTGAAGCGTCACTTGGGGCGGATCATATTTACCTGCAACTAAAGTAGAAAAGAAAATCGTCTCCGTTTACCAGCGGAGACTTGTAATTGCAATGCAACAGAGACCTTCACACAATTAACATTCCTTGCAAAGTAACAGAGGCTGCCCACACTAATGAGGCAGGGAAAAAAAAAAAAATCGTTTAAATCGCACGCGCGCGCGCACACACACACACACACATATAAACACAAAGACGTCGCAGGTGGCATACTCCGTTCCAAGAAAACGGCATCATCCTTTGAATCCCTCTGGATGGGGCACTTGGTGGTCTTCTAAACTCAGGGAAGCATGAGGTTTTCAGGAGTTGCAGGTGCATCTCTGCCAAGTGTGGAGAACTGAGCAGGCAGCAATTAAAGCCAGCAGCACCTCTTGCGAGCTTTTCTCTCCAATTCCGTTTTCACTGTATTCCTTAAATTTTTCGAGAAACGAGCTCACGCTGTGCATTCTTGACTCTGCGGACTGAATGATAGGCAGATATACAGATGTGATGCACGAGTCGTTGCTTTTAAAAACCGTCGTTTAGAAAATGGGCACCTTAAAGCACACACTCCCAACAAGTGCAAAATTATTTCTTGTCTATTCATAAAACAAAAAAAATGCTCACCGGCGTCAAGGGCCCAGCAGCAACCAGCGATACCGATGACGTACAGTGCCATCTTTTGGATGCAACCTGCAAATGCAGTTTGTTGTATTGTCATCATATAGCGCTGTTGAATTTCTAGCATAAAATGTTTGGGGGGGTGGGGTGTCATTTGAATGGACTGTACATGTGAAGTCATTGTGACATATTCTCTCTCCGAAAGACGAAGATATCCATTTGCAGAAGAAATGTTCACGGCACACCTCACATAATGGGAAATCATGTTGATGGGTCTCCATTTTCTGTCAAATCGACTCACTCCGTGTGAACTGTCGACCGCTTGAATTCAAAACCCGTCCTTTGAGACGCATACAAAAGAGCTGACTCAGTTTCTCTCACTGCAAGATCCATTTATTGTTCTCATCGCACAATTCTTACAAAACAGACAATTGGCTGCAGCAAGACTTGAAAAAAGAAAAAAAATGTTTCCCCTCAGCATTGCAGATGTGAGAGGGCCACTGGTGCTTTTTAGTCAAAGCTTTCATTCAGTCAACTGCACTGTGTTTATTCTTCGCTAAAACAGATGAAAGACTTGACAGGAAAGTCAACTGCCACGCTGATGGTTGAACCCGGGGAAAATATGGAGCCTACAGGTGTTGTTGTTATTTTTTTTTTCTCTTGGGCCTTACTTTTTGCGTCGACACATTTGGAAAGCCACGCTCAGAGACGGCGAAAGTTGACACGCAATGCACAAATATTAGTCGTGCGCTGAAAATGCTAAAAGAATAATCATCAGGGGCCATTTGTATTTGAAATAAGATCTTACACCTGTGCGGCAACTATTTTTGGGGTGTGGGGGTGTAATTCACATCTTCATTGGGATGACGTATTGCAATAGCTGGTGCCATCAAAGTCGTTACTCTCAAGAAAAACTTTTCAATTGCTGTTGACGTGTACAGCAAACTATTTTGAGCACGGTACACAAGGTTTGTACTTACAAGGCTTAGATTTAGCCACGATCAATACTCCTGATCACGTTTTGTATCAGTTGAAGCTTTCTGACATGTGGCTCCTTTTTAAATTCCTATCCAGTGATAATATTTGTCTTTTTGAAGGTGCATTACAATATTTTTTTTTTTGTTCTCAACCCTTGTCTTACTTTGGTCCAGTGAACAGTTCATTCGAGAGCGAAATATGTCGTCACACTTTCCAGGCAAGAAGTAGCGAGACACTCCCATGACCACGTCACAATGAACCCAATCAATATAAGATTTTCCCCAGTCAAGAGAGGAAGTGAGCTTTGACTAAATATATGACTCTCAATACAAAAAAAAAAAAAGAAATAAAGAAACTATGTACAATATTATACAGCGTTCAGTGTAAAAAGTGGATTAAAATGGCAGGCGTTATAAACAGCACGAGGAAACCGACGTCCAGCAGAGGGAAACATAAGACAAATAAAATGATCGTGAAACAAGAATCAAGGAGGGCTGCGGATGGACTGTGAAAGGATTTGGAGGGAAAGAAGCAAAGCGGAGAGTGAATGATAAACGCGGATGGGAGGGAGGAAGCCTGCCAATCAAAGTCAGCGAAGCTCTCGTCACGTGTGCACGTCGCGGCGAAAACAACCACCACCATTTGCCATATTCGTGCTCATGAATACATCTCTTAAAAATCAATTCATTAATCATCAATACAAATAGTGAGTGTGCGCCCAAGATAAATGCACGAAACGTTAAATGAACGTAAATGTACAGTCGGATGATATATATGTATATGTATAACCTCTGGAAGTAAAACGTGGTGTTTGCCTTAGACTACTACGAAAAAAAAAAATCCTGAACGTTTGAAGAGCTGAGTTAAAAATTGTGAGTTGACAAGCATCATTTAGAACTTGAACTTGACCTCTGCCATCTTGTATGAGATCTCCGATGCGAAAGCGTGCTTTGTTTGGTCAGAGGTAAATCATCTAAATGAGGAGTCAAGCGCTGGCAAGGAATTTCCAATTTGTGATGTCACCTCCGCTACCTGGCTTGGCTGACAGATAGCGAGTTCACAAGGCACAGGAAGTTATTTCACATCTCGTACACTGAGGAAAGGAAATAATATCAAGAAATAAGACTCTTGATGGAGATGAATTATAAATTGTGCTTGCGGACTGGGCTGAGTTTTATTGGGGGGGGCGGGAGGGACGTAATTTCCGATTGAATCGATATATTCTTTGGATGTCATCAAAACTCGTGACACATCCTTGACATGAGAAAGCAACGGCCACGTGTGTTCTCAAGATGACTTACAACCACCACACAGACAACCAGAAGTCTCCTTTCCCGAAAGTGACGTCTGAGACTGACCTGTTAAGAGGCAGCCAGCGGCTACCCGGCATCAAAACTGCTGCAAAACACAAAGACAACAAGTACAAGTGCAAGTCTGGGAACAACATCGCGACTTTCATCGCGTGACTTTGGGAGCTTTGCGTGACTTTATATAAAAAAGTAGAAACGCGGCGAAAAAGATTATTGAAAAAGAAAAGTGAATGTTCCGGTCCTTCACTGGGGTTTCCAGCCAAGGTCACGTCTTTGAAAAAGTCTTGCCTATCGGTTCCCGGGGAATTTGGGTGGATGGGGGAGCGACCGACGGGAAGCGTGCGTGCGGACTTGCGAAGTGTGCGCCAGCAGTCTAGACCTGCGTGGAATAGGAGCGGTGCAGCGTGGCGTACCGCCCGGCTGAATGCGCGGCGCAGCGAGGAGAGCGCTGTTCGGCCCGGTCTAGACTTGGCTGGAAATGAAGCGAGACGGTGTGAGGACATCGGCTTTGGCGGGGAACCGATAGGGCTGATGGTCATGTGATCTCGGTGAACGGTGATCCCCGCGGAGTCTGCAGGGGAAAGAGAGGAGTGAGAAAGAGGAGAGGGCGGGGCAGACGGAGGAGAGAGGAAAGCCAAGAGAAGGATCATCAAGAGAGATGTTCATGGATGCGGGGGGGGTCGGGGGGGGCAGGTGGGGGAGGATGACTGGGTGGCTCGTGGTCATTTTGGCGTGTGGCTACAAAACGGAAAGATGGCAACAGAAGAAGGGGAGAGTGAGACAAAGGTCCAAAGAGACGTCCACGTTGCTTAGAATGGTTGAACGTAGGTGTTGTAGAGTGGGGGGGAAGAGCAAAGTGCCGGATGCTGGTGGGGAGTGACGGACGGAAGTGAAGGGAGCAGATTGAGAGGAAAGAGGCAAGGTGGGAGACAGAGGAAAATACGGCAATCAGGTACAGGTGACAGACCGCAAAGGACGCCGAGCATTTCCCCAAGCACGCCGGCTATATTGACGTCACTGGGAAGTCCTTCTGAAGGCCATGTCCCGTGCGAGAACACAGAAAATGTTGTTTAAATGTGTTCGGGAGAGCATCTGACCAACGGGAAGCTTGCCAAGGGGTTGATTGTTGTCACCTTTGACTCTCTCCGACTTCGGTGTGGCCAATGTGTGAAGAAGTGAAATTTTGCAATTGTAAATGCCTTCAGAAGATAGAGTGTTCCCATGTAAATATAGCCGGGGGGAAGACGCGGTGCCCCATCCATGAAGCCGCTTTGCAAATGGCAGCATTGTAAAGCAGGCTTGTGCAGCCGAGCACTTTTCATTTGGGCACAGTGCTGAATTACACCACCGGGGGGCTGTCGGGCAAACTGCTGAATCGCAGCAAACTCCTCCGTGACTTTCTTCCTGTATGCATGTCTACCATTCGAGAGTGAGAGGAAATGGAAAACACACAAAGGAATTTGTTCCATTCTCTTGCTGAAATGGAACCGCAGCACATTTCACGCCAGTAGAACAAATCCCAGCTGTTCTCTTTCTCATCGGCCGACTGCACAGCGCGCACGTGCGCAGAGTTCAAGGATTTGCCTCTTGGGGGTTTTTTGTTGTTGTTGTTGAGTGCAGTTGAGAACTTCACGCATGCATGTGTATTGGGTTGTTTGGAAGGGGGTCGGGGGGGTCTCACAGACGGTCTTCGCTCTACGTTGCCCGGGCTCTTACCTGAAGGCCACTTAACTTTTCTAGTGGACTCTCCACACAGGGCAGCGTCACCATGGGCATCGCCGACGTGGACTCGGGACACTGGGCGACTTGTGCAGAAGGCCCGAGCTGCATCTGCTGGAAGTTGTTAATCACACAAGTCACCTGCAGGAAAAGTTAGAGAGAGAGAGAGAGAGAGAGAGGAAGAGTTAGAGAGAGAGAGAGAGACTTGAACAACAGTATGAAAGTCCATGGAGGGTTCGAGACCTGCACGGTCTCACTTCAATCACCGGGCAAGCATGAATATCACATCTCAAATCTTAAGATGACTCGTTTTTCACGGAACGGGAAGAATTCACCATGTCTGTTCCATCAGGACTTTCCAGTGTTTTCCGTCATTTCTTTTCAAAGTCGACCCAATTCAGCAGCTCTCTCGCGACATCAAGAGTTGCCAGCCGTCGAGATCGATGGCTGGCAACGGAACCCTCTTGGGGATTTCTGAGTTTGCCTTCGTAGCTGTTTTCCCAAAACCGTTTGAGGGGTTCCACCACAGCTGTCAGACTCTGGTCCTTGAGGGACACTTTCCTGCATTTTTCCAACACACCTGATTCAGATGATCATCTTATCACCAAGCTCTACTGGACTTCATTTATTAATTTTTTTCTTCTTCTCAATTGCGAATTTCTCCATTGTGAGACAAATCAAGGTTTTCTTATCTTATCTTCTCTTACCAGAAAGACAGCGATGGCTCCGCCAGTGAAGAATCCCGCCAGGACATCGGCCCAGTGGTTGCGATATTCAGCCACCCTGATCACGCCGACGATCATCGCCAGGCACAGCAAGGTGAAGCTGACGGTGGGCTTTGTCAGACGCGTCCCTTTGGTCTTGAACACCAGCGTCACATACATCTAAAGAAAGGCACATGAGAGAGCACGCACACAGTCGGGAACAGCAAAGCCAAGAATACCCGTGCGCGAAAATCGGGCCGGATTTCCTCCCCCCTTCGCGAAAGGTTGAAGTGAAATCCGAAGTCACTACCCGGCATCGGACCAAAAGGGTCACGTGGAGGTGAGATTGAAGGCCTGGCTCTTCCAGCTCGTTACCCAAAGGCCACCAAAGGCGCGCATGCATCAACCTACCACGGTGTACACTGCAGAGTAGACACTGAGCGCCGCGTCCTTGCAGGGGAAGGATTTCCGTGCAGACAGGACGACGAGAGGGTTGCCCGTGCAGGCCCGGCGCTCTGTGATGTATTGCGTGTTGGATTGGCAGCCGAGCGCCGTGTAGTTTGGTCTGCATGCCGAGAGGAAGTGAGGAGTCTGGTTTCCTGTCACCACCTGCCCGGCATTGGCGAAGATGCTTGTCGTCAGTAGACCGAAGGCATAGACACCTGGATTCAGATGAATTGGGATAGACGGCAGAAATAAGCACAGGAGCTGTTGAATGCCGGTTTCGCACCGCCCGTCGTCCGTCTGAATCGGATATTTTCTGTCGACATATCACTTTGTGACCCGTAAACGCAGTTTGCCAGTGTGCTTACATAACCGAAAACTGAAACGACCAAACGTGCAGTCAAAAGGTTTGCGTACCTCCAAGTCTTTGCTCTGGTTTTGATTCACAGCAAATGTGTTTTTTTTCCAGTTTCATGACCACAGGGGAGTTGTGGATATTTGAATTGAAATGAAAAGCTACATGGCGTAACCCCGCTTGAATAACTCAAATGTGTTTGTTGCTGCCGTTGACTCTGTTCACCAACAAAAATATATCGAGCAGACGAGAGAGCAAAACAAATCAAGCGAGCTCTTCGATAAAACAGGTGATAAATCGTACCTCTCAAAATAGCAGCCAGGATTAGCAGCTTGGGTGTGAAATTGGAAATGAAGCTTTCACCTCTGAAGCTAAAGCGTGATATGCTGATTTCTCTATGCAGTTTAGAACTTCAACAACTTGTACTTGTTCAGTCGACATCGCTGGCAACCTTTGAAAATATCAACGGCCATCGCCTTTCGTGTTTGTTTGGTCCGTCTGCGCTCATTTGTTTTGACACGACGGTAGTCTCAATTAGGGATATTATTAAGCGCGAGGCAAGTGGAATACAAAAGAGTGCCCACCTAAGAAGCGGATGATGCGTCTCAGGAGGGGGTTGAAGTAGCAGCAGTCTGCAGTGACAATGGTCCTCTCCTGGCTTCCTTCTGCCTTGGTGAAGAAAGCGCACAGTTCACCGACAAGAATCTGCAAACACAAAAAACAAAACACAAAACGATTAGAATCTGGTTGGAAATTGTTGCGTGTCACTATTTTTTTTACGTGAATGAAAACAAAACAAGAAAGTACATGATTTTCTTGACGTGATCTTCACAATGCTGATTAAATGATAAATAAATGTTCCAATATTGTCGAGACAACCATCTCGTAAATTCCCATCCGACAAAAATGTACTCTTCCTTGCATTGAATTATCATCTGCCTCACATGCACTGCTTGGGCTTGAAGACGTCGGCTATTTCTTTGTACGTTTCCAATCTTCAGTGTAAGAACGTTTATCGCCAAGACTGAAACACTGCAGTCCGGAGCGGGAGCCGGAGCATCTAGTCGCAGAGAAAGACAGCGGAGGAAAATGCTCATGTCATTTCCTCGCAGGTCCAGCCAAGTTCAATTCAGGTTAAAAAAACAAAAACAAAACTCCAGAAGCCCCGCCATCGCATGCCTAGCTTGTTCTTTCTACCGTTCGTGAAACATAACCCTTGAGGGTGTTCCTTGGCAACCGTGGAAACAACATGACTAGAAGCGAATTCAAGCTGAAGGGAGATTTGATCCGGTGAATTGAGTCGGAGCTATTAAGGGCAACGTCACACGCTGAAGGAGTCATTTTAAGACGGCACAGCGTCCACGGGGACGCTCGGTTCGTGCGGCGCCGTGTGCGCCGGATTACTGATGCTAATCAAGGTCATCTGCTCTCACTTTTGGACAAACCCTCTGAAGCGCGTTGCCTCGGGCGTCGCTATAAAGTCGTGGGTGGCGGGCCTGATACGTAACATGTAGTACGACTCATGCCTTTCGTTTCTTTTACTCATGTGGGCTGACTGACTTTCAAAAGACACCCCGTGTAGTCAAAACGAAAAAAGCCCTTCATTTTGTACCCGTCGTCCGTCCCGTTTTTAAACCTGCTCCGTGTTGACTTTGCGTTCACGGACTGAGCAGCATCGCCGCCGAGGCGGAGCAGAGAAAACCTCGACCCGAGGCATTCGCAACAATTGGTGCTGGCTTGTCCCACCACGCAGCCCACCCTGCCATCTGTGTCTTTGATCTGGATGATGGTGCGCCGTGGCTCAACCATCAGGGCGCTCTGTGTTTTTTGGGGTGGTGGAACATATGGACATTTGAAGATCCATCCGTTCATCCATTTTTTTTTTTATACAGCTGAGAACTGGAATGTGGGATCGAACCGGAGAAGACCCACGTGGGCACGGGGGAGAAAATGCAAACTCCGCACAGGAAGGCCGGAGCGGGAACCGAACCCTGCACCTCTGCACTGCGAGGCCGACGTGCCGACCAATTGGTCCATTTTGAAAAGAAACAGGAATATTTCATTGGAATTATATGAGGGCACTACGTGTCATTCATTCGGAAACTGTAACCCATTTCACAAAAAAAAAAAAAAAAAAACTTTGATTGTTCAGACAAATCGTAGAAACAATGAATTGTTTTCTTGCTCTTGGATTGGCTGCAAATCGGAAGGTTCTACTGGCTCATGTAAGGATGCACAGTCCAGTTTCAAAAGCGTTCCAGAAGTGTTTCCTTGCCTGATAAGGTTTGAATATTTTTCGGTTCTCTCTGTTGCACATTTGGAAATCCATGCTGAGCACTTTGCAAGCAGTTACTCTCCTCGAAACACCGCCCACATGCACTTCCACAAAATTGCTTTCCTTTGTGTGGATGGCCTTCTTTTTCGGTGCCCAGCAGGAGGTTTTTTTTTTTTTTTGGGTTTTTTTGCTTCTTGCTGCAAGCCATGATAACTATGTAATGACTTCAGCTCTCTCTCTCTCTTTTTTTTTATTCTCTTGTGGTGTGATCCTGAGTCAGCCTCCTTTCTACAACATGCCAGCCACTTCCCATTGATGTGTGCGTGCATGCATGCATGCACACGAGCGTGCGCACACACACACACACACACACACACGCACACACGCACACACGCACACACACACACATAAATGGATTCACAACTCTCACATTTTCTGAGAAGTATCATAAAGATTGTAAATGGCATCAAATAGCAGGAGGAGGGAGAATATGTTGCAAGGAGACTGTCACTGTCAAACATGTGTGGAACACTGCTTTACAATGCTTCTATAAGAACAGAGCAGGCTTGGGGAATAGAGATATTGTCTGAAAATACAATTTTTACCCTATAGCTCAGTTCTTCAAATGTCATGCACAACGCACACCCACATGCACACAAATTCTGGTCTGCAGAAGATAAGCTCACCAGCTGGAAATAGAACATGATCACTCTGTTAGGAAAGGAGAGGACAAGAGGAGAGCGGGAGGAGGGAGAGGCGGAGGAGGGGGAAGAGAGGAAGCTGAAAGAATCCAGTCCAGGCTCCCATTTGCAATGAGGAGGTGCCGAGGAAAATATCCGACCCAAAGTGAAATGTGAAATGTTTGGATCCAGATCAGAGGCTGAGAAGAAAGAGAGCCAGAGAGGGCGCACGCATCAAAAAAGATAGAACCATGAAAGTGATAGGAGATGTAATGCTAGAAGCCCACCCAGCCCCCCTTCAGGGTAGAAAAATCGGAGCAAAATCAAAGCAAAGAGGCTGCCTCAATAAGCAACCGAAGAGTGAGAGAGCAGATGCAACAGAGTGATTGGGCTCAGGGCTTGTACGAACTGCACCGCTAACCTCTCTGGGGTTGCACATGCTGCCTCGTACTATTGCGTCATCCTACCACTAGTGGCCAGGGCACTGGAAAACGTCAAATTCGTCAGGAATCTGCCGTATGGGTTGATGACATGGCCATTTCCCAGGACTGCGCCTCGCAAAACCGTTCTTTCATCGATACAACGCCAGTGCCACGGTACCCAGCCACTGCTCGTCCGATTCACATAAAACCCGTGCCAAACAAATGCGATGACCGAGGTGACCCCTGATAGAACGAGACGAAATCCGACAACGTCATCCAATCCACTTCTTCTTTAAATCTGTCAAATGGAGCTCACCTGTGACAACTGTATGTTGCTTTCATTTTTGTCCCGTCCACCTTCATCACGGGGCACTTGCGGACCAATGATCATTCACACGTCACCACTTTTTGTTTTCTGTATGTTCAATTGGCTTCCTTAAAAATGGTCCAGAACTGAACAATTGGAGCAAGCACGCAGGCAAAAAATAATTTCAGAAAATATTCGCAACGAATCGAAAGTGTGTCAGAATCGTATTCCAGCTTTCGGCTACGCTACATCCCACAGACAGATTTGATTATTTACCTTGGATTATTTCATAGTGCCGGTAAGCCAGTGTCTGTATTCCACACTCTGACAAAAAAAAAAAAGAAAATAAAAACCCACCCCCACTCACCAGAATATTGCCACTACATCCACCAAACCGACCCACACATCATACTCCCACTTTGATATTCCCAAACCATTGCTACTCCTCTATGAAAACCAGAGTGATGTCACAACAAATCTTCCCAAAGGAAGATTCCTATCGCGGAGAAGCGGGTGACATCGCGTGAATAAAATCCTGACAGGCGGTCAGCGCTAATGAGAGCTTCTCTGCAGGCGCCGGACCAGCTCATTGGCCCGCACTTAAGGCTGATTTGTCACTTCAAGTATATGAAAGGCTCCCTGCTGACAGCAGACCGGCCAAACGGAGTGATGACTTTATTCCGCAGGCAAAATCACACGGGTTTCCGACACAATTCTGAGGAGTGCCATCCATATCAGACATTTCTGCGTTTCTAAGCCTCAAGCTCGGGAACAGGCCGGGAGCGCTTTGTGGCAGATTTCCATTCTTTTGTCGGATTTTGGACGCAAGTCGGAGTACGCTCTCATCTATCGCTAACATCCCAGAGCAGAAAAACGGACGCTAACCGAGGCGCCCATCTTGTGACAGCGTATTCTTATGCCACGAGAGTTGATTGTGCACTGATTGTAACCTCGAGACCTTGCGTGTCAGGACCGGCGTACAAAAGGGGCCCGTGAACAGTAAAATGAAAGAAATTGAAGCGGGCTATGCTCGCGACCCCACTGAGGATGAACAACGGTTGGGTGGGTGGATAACATCGTGTTGATTTAGGTTTAGATCGAAGATTTTTTTGAACTCGAGAAGCGAGTGGTGTTTCTGCCGCCACAAGAGACATAGTCGCCGTGAATCAGTCTTGCAACTCACAACAATTCTCTCCTCTCATTTCAATATGATAGAGATCAGGGTGCCCGATCTGGTAGCCCGCGGACCGGTCCCAAGTCGATCGCGAGGGGTGGATGGGTTTATGAAAGATAAAAAAAATATATATGTGTCCGTGTGTGTTCTATTCATATTGTATATTTTTGTGTCCGTGCACACTGCGCCCTCAGCGTCCTTCCAGTTTCACGTGCACACTTGTCCATATTCTACGGTGCATGAACCCGGTGAGAGTGAAATGTGCAGCCATGTGAAAATCATATACACTCCAATAAATAAAAATAATCAACACCATTTCAAAACATGACAACATTCACCTACTCTCTAAATTATTAACAGAGCCCCATAAGACGAATATATATAGTACACACCAGTTCTTCAATAAATCAAAATGTTAAGTGACTATCATGTTTATGTTTTTTTTTTCTTTCATTAAATGTTCAAAGTATTTCCATTGAAAAATAAATAGCGACATCATCCAGATCAACAGGAAGTTAAGAGACCCCCCATGTCAGTTTATTGTGTGTGGCAGCAGTGTCATCTAGTGGTGGAACTGCGCTCACAACTTTTCACACACAAAAAAAAAAATCACACACTTAAAAAAAAAAAAAAAAAACGCCTCAGTATCCATCTTGCTAGACAGGCAGGCTTATTTGATTTAATGTAGTTTTTTGGGGGGGGGCGGGGGCTAATTGTTACTTCTTGTTGTTTCTCCCCCCCAACACTCGATAGTTTGAATACGTTTTTTCAACCTTGGTTACTATATTTTGTATTATAATTCAATTTGCAGCGCGGTGTGGTGTAGGCGATAGCACGTCTGAATCACAGTCGGGAGGCTCAGGTCCTCCCACGTGAGGTCTCCCTTTGCTCAGCTGTGTTTTCTCCAGATATTTCCTTTTCCTCCTATCGTCTCAAAAACATGCACGGCAGGTTAATTGGAGAGTCGCCATTTTCGTTCCGAAATGAACCGAATGGATCGATTTGAACATGCTGGAGTATAGGCCAGTGGGGCCCAAACCTGGTCCTCATTATCCCCTGTCCGGCCTGTTTTAGGTGTCTCCCTCCTCTCGACGACCCGCTATCGCCACAATCTCTGTGTAAATAAATATCAGCGTCGGCATGCCTACGTTCTTCTTGTATTTATTTGGGCAAAAGCCTGGTTTGGCCCTTGCTTGATTTGTTTCTTTGGGCCCCTCCCTTTGGACTCACCCAATCAATATTGCCGAAGAGATATGTCCATTAAAAAAAAAAAATGACTGTTTTATTTTAGGATAAGAAAGAATTTGTAATTTAGCCCTTGGACGCATTCATGTTTACTTTCCCCCGCCCGCTGTCCGTTTTCCAGAGTCTTCCAAATCTCCCCGGATGACACGCTGAAGATAAGCAAAGCATCAGGGAGACAAGTGGAAGCGGACAAAAGCAAAATGGAGGCGACGAGCAGAACAAGATGGCTGAGTGGGTAGCGCTGACGGGAAAGGTTGTGACTTGTGATTAGGGCACAGCGAATGAAAGGATTCCCAAAGAGAAGGAACACAGATAGGGAATGAGTCCATCTGATCTGTTTCCATGGTAACTGCTGATTAGGTGTGTGTGTGTGTGTGTGTGTGTGTGTGTGTGTGTGTGTGTGTGTGTGTGTGTGCAACAGGCAATCCCTCTTTGCTTCCCTGCACTTCCCTGTCCTCAACCACTTCTTTACGTTACTTTTGTAGCTTGTATCAGCATTCCTGACGTGTTTTATGATGTTTATATCCGATGGTGCAAATTAAAATGGAGGTTTTTTTTTTTTTTTTTTTTGATATTTTTAGCTGTAAATGTTGAGTGCACTTTTAAAATGGAACAAAACGGTGAACGTCATGTGAAGTTCAGTGCGAAATGAAGAAGTTGTGATTTATTTACAAAAGTTCATGCATTGCTCTCCTCTGGGAACACGGCGTATGGCGTCTTCTGTTCATATTTGTGTTTCATCAAAAAGGTTCAGGGCAAATTAAAGCGAATGAATTCATCATCGTAAGCCTGATGCTCAAGATTGCAGCGATAAAACCGAGCAGATCACCAATGTTGATGCTCCTGTTAGCAGCTAATTTGCCAAATAGCTTCCTGGGACAACTCTGGCGCTGCAACAAGGCTAATGTGAGACAAGAGTGGAATTGTCAGAGAGCACGTTTGCTCATCAAAGTCCATCTTCAGAGATGGATGTAACGCTGAGGTTGGAGATCGAGAAAAGAAGTCTTTTTCTGAAGTGACGGCATGCGCAATTTCAGAGGGGCCTCCGGGTAACAGGCAAGCTCAGAGAAAATTGCATCGGCAATTCCGTGTTTTGAATAAATCAACATATCCCGCCGCGTACATTCATGACTTATTTACCTCGACAAAGAGGAAACAGGGGACAATGGAGCTGCTGCTCTTCACACCCGGCTTCTTCTCCATCGCCATGCCACCCGCGTCTTTGTTTCAGCCTGCCTTGTCTCAGCTCTCAAGCTCCTTGCTCTGCAAGGAAAGAACACAAAGTTAGTCCGGCAACAAAAGCGGGCTACGGCGTGTGAGATTTAAGCGGAAAGACATGCGGGACTCGTGAGCGTGTGATCGCCTCTCTGCGTGCATTCACAAAATACAACAAAGCATGCTGGCACGACATGCATACTGCCGTATTCTTTTACCATGCCTGCGCCCAATAATACAATGTGTCTCATGTATGTGCTAAATGCAGAAATAGCACCCGTAACTGACACTACGCCTTTTAATACGGCGCACCGTATGGTCATGAAAATACGGTCATGATTGGCAGCGTGTGTGCAAGCTGGAGGGAAGGCCCTCCTCTGCCACCTGCTGGAGACACACCAAAACAGAATCGGGACAAATTCGGGATGAGATTTACTCGACAATGAAGTACACTTATGTCTTTAATGCTGTCTCGCTGTAATGGCTTTTAAAAAATGTAGCTCGCTCTTCAATATATGTGTCTACGTCAAGTCGATCTCAAGCAGAGGTGAGTGGTTGTTACGTGCAGGAGAACATTCTTCTTTTGAATGCTATCCTTCCACGAGTGGGGAAATAAAAAGGCCTGAGGGATGAATAAGGCATGACATCGAGCTTTTAGGAGTCCTTAGAACAATGCCATGTGCAAACCAAGGCTGCTTTTAGAGAGATCATTTGGAATCAGTGCGTACGTGCGTACATATCGGGTGAGCACCCAGAAGCTCAACAAAATATGTTCGGGGAGGAATCACTTCCATCCACTTCACTTACTTGCAATGACAAGTTCCTCTCCAAGAGAGAAACAAGAGAATCGGACTGGAAGAGCATTTTTATTTTTTTATTTTTTTGGTGGTATTGTTATATTTTTTATTCAACAGTTTTGTGTTGGTGAATGAAATGTTACATGTCCTCCTCTTCTTGCTGTGGGAGGCGACACTTTTGTGCAATTTGGGCCGCAATACATGCATGTGTTGGTGGCAGCTATTGTGTTTTGGGAAAAACTGCTTTGGCGGCCAGAGATGAGTAGGAGAAGCTTTGATCATCTAAAAAAAAAAAAAATGGAGTCCTGGGACACCCTTGCCGGGGAATGATCTAATTGGCATAATAATAGCGTTGGATATTCCCAGCTGGTTCCCTGGTGGACTACTGGGCTGTCCTACACATCGTGTGCTCGGATTTTCTTTTCAACCATTCTCAAGTTTGTTTTGCCTGTATAGTACCCTACTTGGATCTTTTACCAAATGTATGTGGTCCAAAAGAATGTGCCGCATATTTGCACAAATGTATCCGAACTCTACTGTCCTGTATGGACAATTGTGGTCGCGACTTTACATTCACTCATCATGGACATGAATGTCTTGTTCATTTTTGGCTTTGATTCAACAGATCTGTATTTGTATACATTCGAACCTGGTTGCAACGTACCTCGAGGGACACAACGGATCTGTACATTAGAACGCTAGTTCGTTGTGACCGTTTCCAATAAAATGGCTGCCACCTACGACGTTGAATACAATATGAACACTCAAAGATGTAAAAACATGAACGCGTATGAAGAAGTTTGATGTGTTTCCCAGTTATCCAATGCGGTGGGCGTTTTACACCCAGCTGACTGAAATGTTAGATTCAACTAACAGGTTATCTGGTCATAGCTGCCTTTTTTGTAATCATCTGTCCAAGTTAAAATTTGGTGAGGGACTCAACGAAAAGCGTTCCGGATGCTTCCGGCCGGATAACAGCAGGTCAAGTGAAAAGGAAGGATCATCTGATTGGGGGGTCTATCACTCCAACTACCCTGTTGCCGGGCGCAATGAGATAGAAGAGAGCCCATCTCAGGAACCAAACCCAGATTGTTTTTGGAACGGAGAAAAGCGAGCCACGGACAGGGATAGTTGAGTCGAGTACACAGGCGCACATTGTGGCGGGCAGGCGGGAGTCAGAGAGCGGTCTCCCGTGCTGCTCCGAGGTCTCCAGTCAAAGCGTAGCGACGTGGCCAACCATATGCCCTCTCTTCGGGCTCTGCGGCCCAATCGCCGTGCCCCCAGGGCAGCACGAAGCTCAGTCTGCTGCCCTGACGCATGCGTGCAGTTGGCACGGCATCACGGCTTTTCATGCCACTTCGGCCTCGCCGTGCATTTCACATGTCATTGTGAGCATCAAAAGGGGGCGCGGTGATGCAGCGGTAATGTGCCAACTGTCTGTCACTCGGTCATTCTTGTGATTCGGTGCAGTTTAGACCGAGCGTTGCCACAGAAGGGTCAGCTGAAAAAGCTTTTGGTTGGTGTTGGTTATCGTTATCATTGTGCATGTCATTTTTCGTGGTATGGAACTACATTGCGTGATGTTTCGAATATGTCAGTTCCCTGATGAGTCAAATGATCCGCGATCCCGCAAATTCTACTGGGTCTCGGACTGCGCGTGTGCTCAAAATGTTGTCGCCCGTCCGTGGATGTACACACGTGCACACATAAGCAATGCGCTTGAAGTGAGCAAGCAAATCCTCGAACGTCACCTTGACCCTCCTCACAGAAATGTGTCAGACCCGAAGAGGAGAACCACTGCGCTGTACAAGTGGACATTGTTTGGGGAGGACCCCCGCCAAATTTCTGGATAGCACGGAGTCACTCCTCCCAATCACACCATACACACCCACTGGGCACACTCAAGAATCAAAGCAAGAGCCCTGGCACAAACAAACCCTCCACTTGCTCATTTGAAGTGTCGGATATGCAAAATCGGCCTTTCCAAAGCACATGCGGATTCGACCTCTCCAGCACCGGAGGCATCGTGGCTCTTAAGATCTCCCTCTCACGAATGAGGGAATCCTGCCATCCATCCCCTCAGCCCCCCACCCCACCCCCTTCCTCCCGCCTCTTTCCCTACTTACCTCGGGTACCTCGTTGCTAGGCTGACGGTTGCCGTGGCGCCAGGTTCTTATGCCCTGACCATGTCTGATCGGATGTTGATGATGTCAAAGTGCTGTGACGAATCTCTCGCCGAGTCGTCTGCTTCTTGCCCTCTCCTCAGCCGCCGCTCCTCAGACAGCGTGCCTCCGAAACCGTGCGCGGGCGGACTCACGCAGTCCGTCCGCTCGCCATCCTTTTTTTAAGAAGCTTGTCCCAACCACCGGCGATGGCTAATGACTTAAGTGGTCGAAATGACCTCCCCGTGCGCTACTCGGTCTGACGCAGCGACGGAGCACATGGAGAGAGAAGGAACGCATGTCTGTGCGGGAGAAAGAGTGCAGATTCATGTGCGCGAAAGAGTGAGCGAGAGGGAGGGAATGCGTTCAGCTCATTTGTATTCAGGGCTTGTGTTGCCTCTCTACTCCCCCTTGTCTTCCACCGTCCAGCCCTCCACCCTGCATGCTTCCTCACTCTTGCCTTTTCTGTCCTCCTCCCATCGCGCTGACTTTCTTTCCCCTGCCTCTTAGCGGATGTCGTGAGAAACCAAGAGGACGCGAACCTGCCCCCCCCAAACATGAATGCCAAGTAGGAGGGATGCAGCAGACTAGGGAGGAGGTGGGGAGCTTCAAAAAAAAAAAAAAAAAGTCTTTTGTTTTTACATGGCTGTGTTGCACGGTGGGCGACTGGTTAGCACGTCCAACTGATGGAACACTCGAAATTGTCCCTAGGTGTGAGTGTGAGCGCGAATGGTTGTTTGTCTCTGTGTGACCTGCGATTGGTTGGCGACCGGTTCAGGTTGTCCCCCGCCGATTGCCAGAAGGCAGCCGGGAAAGGCTCCGGCGCGTCCGCGAGCCTCGTGAGGAAAAAGCGGATTGGAAATTGGATGGATGGGTATTTATTGTGTTCATTTTTCTTTCCGTTTCAATGGCTTGGTGAGCGCGAATGGTTGTTTGTCTCTGTGTGCCCTGCGATTGGTTGGCGACCGGTTCCGGTTGTCCCCCGCCGACTGCCAGAAGACAGCCGGGAAAGGCTCCGGCGCGTCCGCGAGCCTCGTGAGGAAAAAGCGGATTGGAAATTGGATGGATGGATATTTATTGTGTTCATTTTTCTTTCCGTTTCAATGTCTTGAGGGACAAAATGTTTGACCTTTTGTGTCGATGGCCGAATCAAGCAAGAATGGTTGGAATCAATAACAAATAGCCCAAGATTACGATGACATTCCTACACCGTATGTGTGGGTGCAACTGCAACATCCATCGATCACCTGCACCCTTCGTGAAAGTTGAGGCCGATCCCAAGTGAGGCAGGTCACCTTCGGTTTGTGGGGAAGCTTTGATCGGAAAGAGGTGACTTCATCTTCCTTACTACCAAAGCGCCGCAGTCGTTCACGGCCGCGTGAGCTGCAGTCCGGGCGAACGTCTCCTCGACAACACCCTCGGGTGCGCTAAACGGATCAGGAGGTTCACCTCAAGTGGGTCTGCTCTCTTCTCTGCTGGTCGCTTCTGCCTTCCTGTCATCAATATTAAATGACCTGAGAGACGGTTATAGCCACTAGCCAAGCAAGATTATATTTGATGAAACACAGTGTATCCGAACACCGACGGAATGAAGAACATGAAGGGCACCTGGTATTTAGATGGCAACATGTTTACCATCCCAAACGTTATGATGCTGATTTGTGGCAGGGCCGTTATTTAGCACAATAGTATGCCGAAATGAACTTCATAAAATAAACAATGTCAACCAGATTAAGCAATTGTATCGATTTAAGACATCGCATTTATGATCTCTGGGATTGTCATGAAAAAAAAAAATCTGATTGTAAAATTGTGGAGATGAAAAATCTGCTTGAAATGGGGCTGTTATAGTTTACAACGCCCACGGTGACTGTCCCATGGGTCCCCTCTTCTTCGGGCAATCTATTCTGCTGTATTTCTCAGCCCCCCCGGCCCCCTTTGAATCCTAGCCTCACTCTTATGGCACGACAGTGGATGTGATGTGAAAGCTTGAGACGGGAATATGTATCCTGGATGTATGTCTTCTCATTGAGGTTTTGAATACAGCAGTGTACAGTACACACACACACACACACACACACACAAAGCCTAACTTGTATTAAATGCATATATGAAGAAATGTGCTGATCCGTGCACAACCATGCATCCAGTAACACTCACTTTAGTGCACAAATCAAAGCATTCCCAGCAAACTTGATTCAGACGGCTGCCTTCCTTTACGGTTGCCGCGTGCTGCCACTGAACACGTCTCATTTAAATTATTCACATCATCGATTTGGTGTCAGTACAACATTAGATGGGCACTCATGCAAGATTTGGCTCACCATGATAAAGCTGCAGTTGAGACAACGGTGGCAATCCCAAATGTACACTGAGGCCTTCACCATTTTGGACGGCAAGAGGATTTAAACGTGGGAGCATGGGCTCCCAAAACATATCGACAGGTAAAAAAAAACAAACAAACAAACAAACAAAACAAAACATTCCTTTAGGTGAGAGAGCGGTGCAGGCATCGCAACATTTCACTCATGACCAATCCCAAGAGGCCACATCAGCGCACGTCTGCAATGTGAAACGTAAACTCACATTGCACCGACATGCACGTAAAGCCGATGAAGGGAACGCATAGCGCCTTGTTGTGAAGCAAGGTTGCGCCAAACTCGCGCCTGCAACGCAAATAGGGGTCCGATGACATTTTTGCAGATTGAACCTGAAAAGACATCTCGATGAACACTGTCTTACGCACAGCTTTTATGTCTGCACGCAGTGAGGAAAACGGCCCCAAGACGATGTGGGCAAGATCATCAAAACTGGGAAAGAAGCTTCGGCGGCGTTAGCAGGTGCGCCTCCCTTTTACAGTCATTGGAAAATGAATTCCATCTCATGTTTTTTTTTCCTTTCCTGAGCCACAGTTTGCTAATGTCACCTCCCCATTTACACGGGATCCAGTGGAGATGCTCCTCGCTCGCTTCGGCCCGCAATAAAGCCTTCTGGCGGAGGGAAATGATGCATGTTATTGTAAACACACCAGATGGGGCCCTGAAGCAGGCGACATGAGTGCAGAGCAGCAATTCTCATTGATCGTCAAGCATTTTGTTTGTGACCCCCGCATTTCTGCGGAACTCATATTCTGTGCGTTCAAAACGTTGTGGACATTGCTGCCCTTGTTAAAATTTAAATGGTTAAAAATAGGCAGAATATGCCAAGGAATACTGATGACTCAATCGGGGCATAGAAAAGTGCGCGCCAGAGGGCCGAACGGAAATGGTGCAAGTACACGCTTTAGGCTGATGAGATTTACAAAGAGAAGCTGAATGTGTTCGATCGGATTTGGCGTGGAACAAGGGAGAGCAATTTTTCTGAAATGATTATCGAGTGCAGTAAGAGCTCGTCATGGTTTTATTTTGCTTTTGTTTCAGTTCCGGCTGGAGTGGAGGGCGTTCCCTCCAGAGGCGCACCTGCCATGCGTTGTCATCAGCAGCTACTTGTGGACTGCCATGCAGACCTCTGGCTCTTGGATTATGCCTTGCTCACGACTCACGAGGGAAGTAAACATTCAACAGATTTCACAACCTAGTTGCAGTCTTGCAGATACCTTCCCATCTGTCACTGACAAAACAGCCGAAGAGATCATTTCCAATTTAAGTTGAATCACATGCTGCTGCCTAGACACGTTGTGGACCCATTTTTTTGACATCTGTGACGGGTCGGAACCTTGGTTATAATCATAAATGTAAATGGAATTTTTGATACAACAGCAAGCACCGATACATACAAATGAAATGCAGCCGGTAAATGATCCTAATTGTTTTACGATATTGCTATCTTACTTCAGGCCGATTGTGGCTTCATATTTAGAAGATTGATCTGATCCCTTTTGCTTTTCGAGAGGCTGAAAATGAAGCTTTCGAAAATGAAAAGCGCACCCGGTGCAGACAAACAGACAGCCTTCAAAAATGGAGCACACAATGATCCAAGCGTTGCGCTTGGTGCCCTGGGCTGCTGAGATTGACTGTAACGCACCCACATGCTGAAGCGGGGGCGCCTCATTAGGTGGGCCATCCGGAAGTGGGGGCGAATGATGAAAAGGGGAAAGTGGGAGACGGGGATTCACATTGAATCTTTCATGCGTTCTAATCCACAAATGAATCTGAAGTGTTTTTTGTCGATACAATGAGCAATACAAACTCGAATACCACTTCAGCAGAAAAGCCTCTTGGCAAATATTGTTCCGATCCCCACCGTATCGCAAGTAGTTTGTAAAGTATGTTTGCTTTCTCCATTACAACGCCTCTTCCTCATTTCTCTTCCTCTGCATAACGGATCAGGCTACGGATTACGGATTCATTACTCCATCCTAAGGTGACCGTTTAGGAGACTGAGTCTGCCACTAATATGGTCAAGCGGGGGCTCATAAATTCACATTTATGGAGATATTGTCCGCTCGTTCAAATGTTCAATATGCAATCGGTTGCCCACTCTGCGAAAAGGTTCCAGCACTGAACTGTGGCCATATGTGAGCGAGGAGTCATGCTATCTGATAGAAATGATAAAATGGTCAAAAGATGACGGCCATCAATATGAGAATGCAATCTATTTTGAGACTCAAAAAGGTTCCAGCACTGAACTGTGAGCGAGGAGTCATGCGATCTGATAGAAATGATTAAATGGTCAAAAGATGACGGCCATCAATATGAGAATGCAATCTATTTTGAGACTCGTTTGAAGCCCATCTCTTTCTATGAGCATTCGAGAGGGAATATGAGAGCAAGTCCGGTCTCCATGTTGCATGCCCCAGTGTGCAACTTTATGCTGCATTGGTTTGTTCCTTGAGGACACGGGTTAAGAGGAGATGGAAAGAGTTAAAAACTGTTAGCGAGTCATCGCTTCCTTCTAATTAACGAGTGTTTGACAGAGCTGCTGTGACAAACAAGGCGAGGAAGCGCGTCGCAGCCATCTGCAGCAGCTTTGTGTGCCGAAGCTTTGATGCTGATTTGACTCAATGATGAAGTTGCACTGACATCAGCCCACATTCAGGCCTTGACACAGACATGGGAACACACACGCTGTGCCTCACAATCTGTGTGTTGCAGGATGGCAACTGCACTCCAATAAAACGGACTGACATGTAGAAGGGGCCTGAAAGGAATAGAAACTCTCGCGTTCACATTCCTAGTAGCTATGTAAACATGATAAGACAGGTACACGAGGAGATTGTTCTGAGGTCAATTGCTTAAGATCTTCTCGGAATTGAGGGGTGTTGCCAAAATGCAATGTGGTTATCCTATAATGTTCTTTGTTGTTCTCTCCAGACTGTATTTTACATGTTCTCTTGATGCAATGTAGGGAGACCTACACTGCCTTGTGGGGACACCTGCAATCCTTTATTGTTACACCTGCCTTATAGGGACACCTGTTTTGTGGGGACACCCACCTCATTGAGAAACTTGTACCGTCTTAATGGAAACCTTCCTTAAGGGGACTCCTGCATTGTTTTATGGATACACTTGTCTTAAAGGGACACATGCCTTATGGGGACACCTGTTCCTGTAGAGTCAATCTGAATGAAATTCAATTAATTCATTTCATTCCAT